CTTATACCACTTGTAAACTCTTGTTTTACTTATAGCAGACTCACTATAGGCCTTTGTTAACATTTCACAGAATTTATTTCATTTTTTTAAGCAAAATTTTTAAGCCAACGAACGAAAAATCGCCGAGCTCATAAAACACGTCTAACCTTAGCGGCTGCCACAGACAAAGTAAACAATGAAAACGGCTAAAGTTTTTATCATACTTCGGGGGCATGGATACCAACATAATAAAGAAAATTTTATGACAACCGGACCCTCCGAACCCGCGAAATTTAACAATTCCCATTATTTTCTGAACACACCTCGTATAAACTCATAGGTTGTGAGTTTTGTGAAATAATGTAGCCTAAAAGAAATAATTTAAAAAATATACTTTCTTCAACTTACTATACAGTGCTTGCAAATCCAAGTCCGACCGGTTTGGGAAGGACGCGTGAAAATAACAAGGATAGAACGCCAAACAGAAGGCGCTTACAATGCGCACGCCTGACGTTCTGACCAATCAAATTATGTTTGGCATTCTATCCTTATTCTTTTCACGCAGGTATTGAACAACCATCCTTCCCAACGCGGTCGGACTTGGATTTGCAAGCACTGTAGAAGAGTTAACAAAGTTGTAAATATTTATTTATCTACAAATCCTAAAACAGTCCCCTCACATTTAATTAACGTTTAAATAATATATGCCATATCAAAAAAATAAAACAAATAATATTTGAAAACAGTTTATTAAAAAAATATCGCTCTTAAAAATATTTGGTAATAAATTATAATACAAAAGGAACATAGGTCACACATAATTACATTCAACCACAATAAAACAATTATAATGTTAATAATGAACAATAAAAAACTATTCAAAATAATAATAAATAAAAAACAAAATGCAAAAATAACAGCCTTAAGAACTATTTATTAAAACAAATTATAAATATTGTACATTTACATTTATTATATTGTTTATTAATACTTAATACTGAGCTCTATTTATGTATAAAAAATTGCACTAACCCCTTCCAGAGAATATAAAAATATTGCACATAAGTTAATAAGTAAGTATTATTTACTAATAAGTACTAGTTTTTGAGCAGATTTACAAAAATATACATTTTTTGTGGAGCAACTTATAAAAAAAAGTTATTTTTTTCGCACGAAAGTTGCTCACAAATTCCTATATAATTTTAGGGATTACCCATACATCATTAAAATCATATTGGTTAAAAATATACGATTATACGGCAAGTATCCTTTCATGTATGGTATATTTTTATTTGAATTTATTTGGATCTACAATATCGGTTAAATTAGAGAAAAGTCGCTGAAAGAAAAAAAGTTAAAACCGAACCTTGTACAAATAAAAAAATATCCATGTGTATGTATACTCATATAAGGATACTTGTTGAACCCTGTATAAACAGTTATTTTCCCGACTGTTTTTATTTAAATAACAGACACCCTAATAAACAGTTAAGTATATCACAAATATAATTATTGTTATTATTAAACAACATTTTTGTTGTTGATACCAGGATAATTGAAGCGCTTCCAAAAATTTCCAAAATTTATGGTTTTTATAAAAAAACATGTACTTGGCCTTTTAATTTTGGCATTTAGAGTGTTTTTTATCAATATGTACAGAAACCATCATTTTTGGATATATACACAAAATCAAAAACAAACTATAGTGTATTCAAAAACTGAACAATTTTGACTTATAACTCAGAAGTTTTAAAGGATATGTTATTGAATTTTGAATATATTTTCACCAAAAATCATGATCCAACTTCACAGAATAAAAAGTTATCTATAGTGTGTTTATAAACGAAAAAATGTTGTGAATACACTATATCAGACTTTAGATTTGATTTTTACTAATACTAAAATTACTTAATATTAAAAATATCAAAAAATATTGCACTGATATTCCTAATAACTAATATTGCACGTTTTTGTTTGATCCCAGGCCTATGTATGTATAAGCATTGGCTCAATAAATAAATAATTTAAATAAAAAGTAAAGTAATATTAATTAATATTAATATTAATATTGACCGCAATTTTGTCTATAGACAAAATTGCGGTCAATTTGAGAACACGCTGTACATTAATATTACTATACTTATAAATTAATAAAAACAAAAAAATTTATACATCAAACCAACCTGATTGAATGATAATCAATTTAACAAAATAAAATTGATTTTTAATGTAGGAACGCACTGTATTTTGGAAAGTTGTTTTTGCAAGCATATTATTTTTATAGCGTATCTACAAGAAACTGATTTGTATTATAGAACCATAAACACTGTATTAAGTTATTTTAATTAACTTATTAATGATTTGGTACAGCATTAAAATGTTTTTTCTTTAATTTTATACTAGTTAAATTAAATGGCGGTGTTTCTAATAACTGTTTACATGATAATTTTTTTCATAGAATTTGGATCTTCGATATATTAATTACCAAAAGTGGAAATAGTTTTGATCTAAATACAGAAAAATGGGTTATTTATTTAAATTGAATTTATATTGATCATTTATATGAAATTTAATACGTTACACGACATTAAGTAACAGTTTTATCTGTACCGAATATTCATAAAATACTTCCAGTAAAAGTATCAAATAACACGTGAAAATGATGATTATCTAGTTAACGATTACTTGCTTACAAAAACAGTTTCCAAAACTATGGCACGCCGTTTTAACATTTATTAAATCATTTTTTAGTTTAAAATTTTGTCGGTTAAAATTTTTCTGACTAAAAATTTTATGTTACATTTATAAATTTAAAATATTTTCAACTATCATGTATTGAAAGACAAAATTGCAAAAAAAAATTAATACAAATAATATAGTAGTAAAATTATTTTGATTAAATTGGCAAAGTTAAAAATAGTGTCGAGACATTTAAAATAAAAACATTTTTTACCAAAATAGTTTAAAATGTTAAATTTTTTTAAACTCAAAACAATTAAGAATCAAAAAATATTTTAAATATTAAAAGCAAATGTAAAAGTTTAAAATATTGGTTTTTAAAAATTGTAGTTTTATTATTTATTATTTTAATAATGTAATTTTAATATTTTATGATAGTCGATACATTTTTAACAGAAATTTGTAGTCATTTAAATGATGGTAGATATATTTTAAAAATTCTCACATTACATATAAATGTAAGTGTAATTTAAATTAGTAATTTTTGGATTAAAATTAGTATATTATGTATCAAGTTTTATAAATGCTATTTTAGTTACGAGTTTTATTAGGCACGAGCGAAGCTTGCAAGTGCGTGTTTAATAAAAACGAGTGTCTAGAGAAGTATATAAAACGAGTTGCATACTATACTTTATCTACAACGAAAGAAAGAAGAATTTAAAGCCAATTTTATTTGGTAAACATTTAACATCTGTCAAAAGTCAACGGATTTAACCTCACTTTTCTCTAGTTTATAATAAAGCTAACCAGCCCTTGACTAAAATGTCCAGCGCCATCTATGAAACAATAGGGAAATCTGTGTGTCACCGTCAAATGTCAAATTTTTATATTTTATAAACATAATTATAAAGATTATAAATCGAAATGTATTTCTTAAAAATTGACAGTTTTTTACAATGAAAGTAAAGAAAATGGATTTTTTCTACTTCCGCCTAAATGAAATTCGTGTATAAAATGGCGTTTATTCAACTTGATACATAACATAATTTGTAACGAACGGGCCATGGGGGGCACACGTTAATTATTAAAAAGAATATTAAAACCACAGAAAAACTACCTTTGGCCAAAACACGTGATCGTCTAGTTTAAAGAAATTAATTTAGGACCCCTTTTTGTTGTGAATACTGTTCTGGATACGTAAGTACTTGAGCAATTGAAAAGATATTTAAAAAGCAAAGAAACAGTATTAAATGACTCTTCAAAAATTTAAACCAAAACTTATACCGATAAATAATAAAATATTTGAACTAAAATTTTTAAAAATCAATATTTTTAAGCTTAGGCTTAAGTTTCACAGTTGTATTTTATATTTAAAATAAATAACAATATAAATTGTATTGAGTTTAAAAATATTTGTAAATTTCTGTTTAAACATCATTAAAGTGCTAAACTTTTATCTTTAAACTATTATCTAATAAATGTTAAAACGGCGTGCCAAAGTTTTGACTTATAACTTTAAAGGATATGTTATTGAATTTTGGATATGTTTTCACCAAAAATCATGATGCCAACTTCACAGAATAAAAAGTTTCTTATAGTGTGTTCGTAACGAAACAATTTTTAATTCAAAAGTTATTACCAAGTGAATAATACACTATGTCAGACTTTAGATTTTTACTAAAACTAAAATTACTTAATATTAAAAATATCAAAAAATATTGCACTATAGTATAATATTGCACGTTTTTGTTTGATCCCAGACCTATGCATGTATAAGCATTGGCTCGATAAATAAATAATTTAAATAAAAAGTATAGTAATTTTAATGTACAGCGTGTTCCTAAATTAACAGCATTTTGTATCAATTAATAAAAACACAAAATTGCTATACATCTCACCTCTGTTTGGTTAATAATTTTGAATATAAACCGACCTGATTTAATATCAAATAATTAATTTAACAAAATATTTTTTTTAATTTAGGAACGCACTGTATTTTGAAAACTTTTTTTGCAAGCCTAATTTTTAGTGTATCTGCCAGAAACTGATTTGTATTATGGAACCACAAAGTTAAATTTAATAACTACTGTTTACATGATAATTTGGATACTCGATATAGGTATTAATTACCAAAAGTGGAAATAGTTTTGATCTAATTACAGAAAAATGTGTTATTTGAATATATATCGATCAATTATATGACGTTTCACGACATTAAGTAACCGTTTTATCTGTATTAAACGTTCATAAAATACTTCCAGTAAAAGTATCAAATAACACGTGAAAATGATGATTATCTAGTAAACGATTACTTACTTACAAAAACAGTTTCCGAAAGTCACTCAATCTCTTTGAAGCAGCTCGTGCAGAGCTGCGATATACGTTTGAGCCATTTGAAGGGTTTCGAACTTCGATAGCTTCCTATCGTTGCCGAGCGATGGCACCACGTCCCTTAACCTGTCAAAAGCGTCGTTCAAACTGTTCATTCGTCGACGTTCGCGAGCGTTCGCAGCTAAACGTCGTTTTTTCATCACTTCGACCCCCTGTGGGGGCTGTTGCTGCTGTTGCTGTTTTTTCTCGAGGTTTTTGCTGTAGAAGTCCTGACTTTCGTAGGAACTCGAGCATCCCACCCTTTGGGACTTGTACTTGTAGTCGTACTTGTTGTAGATGTTATTGTTCTCCCCGTAGTAGTCGTGCGCACCCCAGGTGGTGTAGTTGGGGGTGTATGGCTGCGTGGAAGACATGCCTGGGTCCGAGGCGGGTGAGGCGATGGTTAGATTTGTGTAGTGACTGTCGGGGGATGAAAGCCTGGGGGACGGGCATCCGTCTGAAGACGTCTCGTGCTTTCGCAGATACATTCTATATACATAGCTCGATGGTATTAGATCTGCATATTAAGGAGACGACTTTCCAATCATTGCCTAATTTCGCAGAACTCGTTTGGCGGACTTAGAAGCACAGTCACACGGAAGTCACTTAGGAGTACCTGTACGTGGTCTATTAAGATAAACGGGCGCGTGCTCACTTTACGCTTAAGTGGTTCGGAGATATCACCACATGCACTGCACTTGGATGGACTGCTCTTTGGTTCTTGCACAGGACTGACTGACTGAAGATGTCTTCTGGTAGCCGCGAGTTAAATCAAAAGAAGTGGCATTCGGAGAGGTTCGCATTGCCACGGTCGAAGTGTCGTCTCAAGAGCGAGGATCGGTGTGATTCATTCTGCGTCCGGTTGTGGCTGCAAGAGGTGGTGCTCTTCGGCAGCTGCTGCTGCTGCCGTGGCGGAGATTGCAGCGGGCGATAGTGCCGCTGCGCTGAGCGCAGATTAGCGCCTATTTGTTGTTCACGGGGATTGTCTCGTTGTTGATGGTTATGTTGAGGTCATGAATATGTATGTATGGTTGTTTATTACGCATACATGTATGTTAAATTCATTGAAGGTCTTGTTAGGCGGTCTGAAGAGTGAGTCTTATTTACACCATTCAAAAATTAACACAAACTATCGATAGGAAAAATATTGTAATAATGTTCAAACAGAAACTACACATGCTGTGATCTTATGGCATCTTAGTCACGGGCTGAAGTAAGCTCTAAATTAGTTGACAGTTGGGTCATTCAATGTGACAGTTAGGACACTTGTACTAATTTGTTATGTTTATTCAATTTATTATTTATTATTGTACCCTATAGTACACTGAACGAAAAAGGTACGTGATATTAATAAAAAAGTACATCAAATCAATGAACGACAACATTAATTTTCAGCCGATGACGGGTCTTATTATTACAATGAACAGTCGTTCGTAAATTTTCTTATTCATCAAGTTACGATTTCTGTACGTTAAATCAATGAATGAGGAGCATGGATCTATGTTTGACTGTAAGTATTAATATTACGAACAAAAAGGCATTAGTTTATGATTTACTTAAATTTACATAAAATCCAAGGCAAACCCAATTAAAATTATTTGCCAAATTTACTTACCTTTGTATTTAAAATAAAGGTTTACTGGGTAGGTGGGTGCATTTTTTTTAGCAACATAGAAATTGGAAAAAAATATCTTATACAAATTACCCAGCAATCAATCACAAAAGGGGTTTCTTTAAAATAAAGACGTTTTTGGCGAATACATTTTTTATTGTAAGAGAAATTTACAAATAATATGAAATTTTGGGCTCTGAAGAGGTATACAAAATGCTCTATCTAAAAAGTTCCAAAACAGGCTTTCCTGTAAAAAGTCAAGATTAAATATATAAATAATTTTAAAACATATATCGACCGCCTTAATTACATGAAATCCTAAATTATTTTATTTAAAATATTAAAAGTGTTTATTTTAAAACTAAAAACTCATTCACTTAAAACCTAAAAATAAAAAAAAACTATCCAAAAAAGTCAAAACTGTTTAAAATAACTTCACAAGCTCACACACCTCGGTTTCGTATATTAGGTACAAAACTTAAAAAATAATCCATAAAGGACAAAAATGTTTAAAATAACTTCACAAGCTTACACACTTTGACTTCGCTCCATATATTTATCCCAATTTCACTAATAAAGCTTTAGGGTTAAACGCGGAACTAACCTTTTAACGCTATAAGACTGACAAGATAAAAATTGCATGTAAAAATTCCCCACCCAAAAGTCGTGCGATGACCTTCGTTCTATGACAGCGATTCGTTATAATAATGTTTATGTTGATTGAATCAGCGTACGGTAGCATTAATTTTGGCGCGTTTTAAGAAGTTAATGGTTAAGTTCATAAAATCAATGTTTAGTGACCGTTGGGACAATGAAGACAGTTTATTATTATTTATGTTTTGCTGTTCATGGATCTATGACGAAAAATGTATTGTTTTAAAGATAAAGAACATCGTTTAATGATCGTCAATATAGTTAATTCAATATATTGAATTAACTATATTGACGATCATTAAACGATGTTCTTTATCTTTAAAACAATACATTTTTCGTCATAGATCCATGAACAGCAAAACATAAATTTATAAATTTTTACATTATATTGATGAAGGAAATAATTAATTTTTGATGTTTTGCATTTATCGTTTAATGTTGACTAGTTTATTGTTTTAATGTACTTAGTTATTAATCTATGATGAAAAAGCATTGTAATAATCACCAATACATAATATTAATGTTCAAAAAATTGACGACAGCAGTTTATTAATTTTACGTACAGTTTTTCTTTCTGTGCACTCTTATAAAAATCAATTTTATTTGTCAATAAATATTGTTCATAATATTTTAAAGTTGAATATATTATTTGTGTTTTGAGCTAAACTTTTTGCATATTTGTTTGTTTTTATGGGCCATTTAACCATGGAGCCTATATGCATTTAATTCAAATAATACTTTTTTGTTGGCCGCAAACGATTAAAGAAATTAGTTACTGTTAACTCTCTGAAATAGTCAAAGATGGTGTCTAATCTTAAATTAGTCAAACTTTAACTATTTACGTAATAAAAAATATCTATTTAAATGTAAAAAATGCCGGTACTAATTCTAATGGTAGAATTTTGACTATTTTATTTTAAGAGAGTATGTTTATTTAATTTATTATTGTAACTTTTTTTGTCTATGGAACACTGATATTTTTAAACACCCATACAACATCTAAATTAACAATAAAAGTTTTTTGTAACACTATTTAGTTTTATAGACTATCTTAGTTTTATAAAGTAATTTTTTATTGTGACGGGTTGGAAGCCAATTTCTGCTAAATTAAAAAAAAACTGTAATATGTTTAAATTTTTTGTTGGTACATAAGTCTATAATAAGGGAGCGTTCAAGTATTACGTAACGCAATTTTTGGAGATTTTTAAATCAGTCAATTTATGAAAAAATCATAGGAGAGCTTTTTTGTACAGAGTTCAATTTCCTATAAAAATATGTGTCTCTTATTGCTGTATATTAACTTGCTCGGGAGAAAAAAAAATAAATGTAAAACTTGCCGAAACCCCATGTTATTTAAATGGAAATTGTATGTGGCACGGTTTAATATGATTTTTTTTTATAATTTTTTAATAATTTTTTTAGGTCATAAACTAAAAATTTAGGGGGCGCTGCGAACAAAAAAAAACAAGTTGGTAAATAACGGACACCCTAGGGCGCATACCTGTTTCTTTTTTGCTTGAATGAATTGTTTTTATAAGTAAAAACAATGATTATATATAGGTCAGTGACAGCCAGTGGCTCCCTGGTTTTGTCAAAAAAATTCATAATTTTTTTTATTAAAAAACAGTAGCTCTAATGCAAAAATGATAGAGGAAAAACTTTCTTTTTCTGGCGTGTACTATCATTCTCCCAAAGGATGACAATATATTGGGAGACACCCTGTATAATATATGATTTAAATTTTTATATTTTCTATGGTGACCAAAATGGTCAGGGACGTAGCTAAAGGGGATTGTGGCGTATATAATTTTTGCATTTACATAGGTGTTTTTATTTGAAATATTTTTAAAACGAAACGACATTTTGTTGATTTTTAAACAAATCGTAATTTTTCAAAATTAATTGGATTAAAAAAGTTATGCAAGTCCTTTACATTTTTAAATTCAAATGAAAATTTTAAAAGTTAATACAAAACTAAAAATTCAAAAATCATTTTTTAGAAACACAAAATTATAAAATACCTACACGGAGAAAAAAGTTTATTGCTCCCAAATAAAAAAAATATTTAAATATGGGACAAGGGTACAGTTTATTTATCCTAAATATATTTTTATTCCCGACATATAAAGTTTTACTAAAGTATATTTATCGTTATTATTTCGACTATTTATAAATAATATATTCACTACAAATAAAAGTATTCACTACAAATAAAAGTATTCACTACAAATAAAAGTATTAGGTAAACAGTTTATTTGTCCCATTTTTTTCTCAGTGTATGGGTATAGATTTTTATGGTTCTTAATAAAGTCTTTTTTATATTATTTTTCCAATCTTATCTATTCAGTGTAATTATTCTATAAAACATAGTTTGCCTCCAGGCATTTTACTACGAGTATACAATTGATCTATTTTGTAATGTAATGCTGGTAGCTAGCAATTTTAGCATTAGAGTCTTTGTAAAATAGTTCCGACAGTTTTAAAGTTATTACTGCTCCATGCTTATTATTATTAATTTATTGATATTAAAAGATTTACAAGATTTAACGAAAAATAGAATTTAGAACGGCATATGTAGGTGTTCCTAAAAATGTTATTTCGATATTGACACATTACTCTATGCTAGCTCAAAATTTTGAGAAGAATTTTTTTTAAAAAAGCACTCCATCAAACACCTCCCACTTAACAGCAAAAAGCGTAAACTATTTATCTACCAAGATGTGGTGGATGGCAGTTTATGTTGCAGTGTGTGTGGAACGGGTGTTTTTGTTTTGATTCAGATTAAATTTTTTAAAACTGTTGTCTAATATTTTATAGTTTTTGTCTCGATAAGTAAAATTTATTATTTTATTATTGTGATGCACGGGGGTACATACACGCTGCACAGGTCTGATATTTTATTTGTTTTATATGTATATTTTTATCCATTTAGATGTATATTTAAAAATTTAAAAAAACGAATTTGGGTTAAGATTGCTTTGATATTTTCTTTCTTTTGTTTTTTTTAGTAAATATATTTTTATTATAATGGTTTAGTAGGGCTATCGGCCATTTAAACGTGGAAATTTATTCCTATTTAGACAAAATTACCACGAGCCGCCACTGCACTACATGGAAACGGGACAGAAGGGACATAAATAATGTAAAAAAATCTAAAATACTAGTTTTTTTCCCCAACTAATGTCTAAATAAGTGTAGTTATTTTTAATAGGTCACTCATTA